GTAAATACAAATGTATTTATCCAGTAAATAGAAGATCAGGAGCAATTATTAGAAAGTTATAGTTTTTGCAGTGGTTGTCTATATAAGTCTAAGTTAGTATTAAGAGGTATTGTCCTCTCAGTTTATTAGTGTATGAGATTTTGGAACAAACTAATAAAGGATGGGAAAAACCTAGATCAAAATAATAAGCAATTAAACTTGGTCTACTTTCTGACCTGGTAACTTGGACCCAGTGACCGGGCAGGTCAATAGACTAGTTTGTGGCTACATTTTGACCCGTTTTTCCACATTATATTTTAAATTAAAGTATGTGAACTTGAAAACTGTAATTTAATTGTGATAATAAAATTAATATTGTTCACAGTTAAAAGTAGGTGTAACTGCATTCCTTTAGAAAAAATATTACGATTTTGTGTGAGTTTTTTTTTCAGTTTGAATTTAACACATAACATTACGCCTTTTATCCCCGAAGGGGTAGACAGAGGTGCACATTATATTATATGTATATGTATATATAGCACTTAATTCCACTGTACAATGTAACACACACTTTGCACTATTTATGTTATGAGTTTCATGTAATAAGGGGTGAACCTATTTTAAAAACCTCAGTAATATTTTGCCCGACTCGGTAATCGAACCCGCGAGTCCCTGCACGGTAGTCGCACTTGCGACCACTCGACCAACGAGGCAGTTTGTCTTTAACTTTTTTATATTTTTACTTTTTTTGATAATTTGGATAAGTATGTGTGTAAGCACGTGGTTTTGGAGGTAGGCAGGGATATAGGTAAAAACCCTAAATAACCCGTCTGGTAATTTTTGAGTATATCGAGTACCTAACACATCTGCACACGGCCACACATCAACCTATACAAAACCAGTGTATCCTGGTGTCGCGTCGCATTATCTTTCCGCACATTTAACGTTCAGTTTATACTGGTTATGTAAAGCTCGATGTGCAGCCGTGTGTACATGTCACTTGTTTTTTAGTGTGAAATAGTCAAAGTCAAAATCATTTGTTTCAATTAGACCAGGATGGCACTTTTGAACGTCAAACAACAAAAATTTATAAGTGAAGCTATTTGCTCATTCCAAGGCGTAGATTCCTATGGAGAAGAACGAGCAAGAAACTCCATAGGTTACTCTTTTTCAATCAGGTTTACAATACAATTCTCTAGTTACATAGTTTTATTGGTTCGATTATGTGAGAACAATGCAACACCCAAATCCAGTCAGAAAGTTTTTTCTTTCTTTCTTTAACTTTTTTGAAAGTGGATAATCATCCAATGACTTCTTCCGCATTGGGTTAGGCAAGAGGGGAGTGTCAGATTCTTACTGACTAAAAACCACCTCGTTCCTACTCCTGCTCTTCATTTTTTCTTTACCTACAATTACATACAGTGCATAAATTGACAGACAGACGTAAATGAAGACATAACATACATAACATCACGCCTTTTACCCCCGAAGGGGTAGGCAGAGTTGTACATTATGTCACTGTATAATGTAACACCCACTTTTCACTATTTATGTTATGAGTCCCATGTAATAGGGAGTGAGCCTATTGCCATATACCGGGCACAATTCCAGACTCCGTGCTACTACTGAGAATTTATAAAAACCCAGTATTACTTTGCCCGACCCGGGAATCGAACCCGAGACCCCTTGCCCGGCAGTCGCGCTTGCGACCACTCGGCCAACGAGGCAGTCGTAAATGAAGACTACTTTTTATATTACTAGGAATACGAAAACAAGAATATTCATACCCATAAGTGTAAAATATTGTGATTATACAGGGTGGCCGGGCAGTTGACGTACAAGCGTAAAATTTAGATACTTTATAATGAGGACTATCTAAATCCCACCCATGTATGTTCTACGATTTATGTGCACTGAGCTTAAATCGTAATTTTGAACTTTTGAACAAATTCTAAGGAAATTATGCAATGCAATAAACTAGATAAACCATAAGTTTTAGGGTTTATTTATATATTATATAGCATAGGCCGGTAAACGAGCAGACGGATCACCTGATGGTAAGATGGATCAATTGCGTTACCGGCCTTTTGGGAATTGGGAATTTGCGGATTGTGGAGGATTCGGGGATTCGGGGATTCGGGAGACTAGGGAGGGGGGTAAATGGGCCTCCAGTAACCTCACTCACACGACGAAACACAACGCAGGCGTTGTTTCACGTCGGTTTTCTGTGAAGCCGTGGTATCACTCTGGTCGAGCCGGCCCATTCGTGCTGATGCATGGTTCTCCCACACTTGAAACGGTGCAGCGTAAGACTACGGTAGTCATTACCACGAAACAACTGAACCAGAAATGTCCAGTAGAATGAGAAAAAAACTGATGTTCGGTGAAAATTACGAAAGAAATAATTAAAACAATAAAAATCTCATCAATAAAATTTTATACTTGAACGTCAACTCCCCGACCACCCTGTATGTTAATTACAGCTATAGGAATATCTTTTAAACACAAGACAAACTACAAGTAAATCAATGAGTCATACTTAACGAGCGGATCTTGAGAAATGTTCGTATCTATGTGTGTTGCGTTCTCATAAACAAGTGAATCCAGTTATGTATGAAGAATACAAAGATAGCAGTATTTTGTGAATGTGCGAAGTTTTTAGTCAATTCAGTGGTTTGTTTTTGTAAATATCGGTTTATGTTTTCAGTTAGTATGTTAATGTTACTTTAGGTATCACTACATAGTATAAAACAAAGTCGCTATCCGCCTTCTGTCTGTCCTTATGTATGCTTAGATCTTTAAAACTACGCAACGGATTTTGATGTGGTTTTTTTAATAGATAGTGTGATTATAAAGGAAGCTTTATATGTATAATACATGTGTATTTTTTTTTTAAGGGGGGAAAATCATCGAATGACTGCTCCCGCCTGGGTGAGGCGGGAGGGAGTGTCAGACTCTTACTGACTAAAAACCACCCCGTTCCTTCTCCTGCAAGTCGAGCCGGAGCCCCGGTTACCCGTTAGGTTCTCCGCGACTCCGAAATACATGTGTATTGGACCTGTGCGAAGCCGGGGCGGGTTGCTAGTATCTAATAAAATATCTATCCAATTCGTGTTGCCAACGCCTTTTGTATTTCCCAGATCATATTGGGAAGTTTGATTTCGATTTCGAGGAATAAACAATATTTTAAGCATTTTTTTTATGAATTTGGTAGGAATATTGTACTTTTCTTTCCTTAACAGTGCCCTCAAAATGTATTATTTATGATACAGGTTAACGTCCTCTTTGTTTTTCTAATGACCGATTAGTCAGTCAGAAATTCCCCTTAATTAAAAATCGAATTTACCGTCAACATAACATAAC